TGCGGTTTATAGTCAAATTTTTAACAATTTTTTTCGTAAATTTTTGTAATCTTTTACAAAAATCTTTTCCACTTAATCTACTGGGCCAAATAGAACTAAACTTAGCCACAATATTCAATAGGGTATCTTGATTGAAAAATGACCCTGCCATCCAAACAACATGGCCGCCATGGCTGAAAATAGAACATAGGGATTTTCTTTAGAAGTCTAAAGGAAAATTGTAAAAAAAACAATTTCAAATGTTCACAACTTAAAAAAAAATTTAAATAATGATAAGGGGTCTTCAGTAACTATTGTAAGTCTAGTTACTAGTGAGATGACATGCTTTTAATTTAACTACTGGGCCAAATTAAACCAAACTGGGCCTCATGCGCAATCATTATTAGGGTATCTAATACTATTTATTATAGTAACAAGGTTTTTCTGGTTTCCGGACTAATATTGAATGGATCTCTATGAAATTGTACCACAAGGTTCCATACCACACACAGAAGGTTGGGGTTGATTTTGTGGGTTGTGGCTTTAATCGTTAAGAAACTAGAGGCCAAATAGGGGCCAAAAACAAGACTTTTCTAATACTGGTGAACTGCTCAGGTTCTAACATAAATTATTTCTGATCTATATAAAGAAACAACAAATACTGATATGGCAGGAGATACACACCAAACAGGGTGTGTAAATTATTTTATTTCGTTGTAAACAGATTTACTAAGTATTGTGCAATAGCAAAGTTGTGCAATAGCAAAGTATTGCACAACAGCAAGAAATCTTCAATTGAAAATAAATACAAATCTTTTAACCAATTTCAATGAGGATTAATTTAAATGAATTGTTTGAGGTTTTTACCATGTATTAGTATATTGGATATTTGGACATTCTTAAATAGGTCTACATTGAGGTCCAAAGGGTCCAAAATGAGACTTTGTTTGATTTCATCAAAAACTGAATTCTTGTGGTTCTATGATATGCTGAATCTAACTGCATTCAGATTTTTAATTTTGGGCCCTGTTTTCAAATTAGTCCATATTAAGGTCCAAAGGGTCCAAAATTAAACTTTGTTTGAAATCATGGTTTGTATGCCCCCACTGTAGCGGTGGGGGCATTAAGTTTTACCGGGCCTTGTCCTTCTGTACGTACGTACGTCCCAAAATTGGTTTCCGTTCTCTAATAACTTGAGTTTGCCTAAACCAAATGTTATGAAACTTATACACAATGCTTATTACCACAAAAAACAGATCAAGTTTGAATTTTGGTGGCGTCACTTTAACCGTTCTAGAGTTATGCCCCTTTATTAATAGAAAAATTCAAAAATTTTAGTTTCCGTTCTCTAACTAAAGTTTGCCTCAACCAAATGTTATGAAACTTATACACAATGCTAATTACCACATAATATAGATCAAGTATAAATTTTGGTAGTGTCCCTCTAACTGTTCTAGAGTTATGTCCCTTTATAAATGAAAAAATTACAAAATTTTTAGTTTCCGTTCTCTAACTTGAGTTTGCCTCTACCAAATGTTATGAAACTTATACACAATGCTTATTACGACAAAACACAGATCAAGTTTGAATTTTGGTGGGGTCACTTTAACCATTCTCGAGTTATGCCCCTTTATAAATGGAAAAAAAAATGCAAAATTTTTATTTTCCGTTCTCCAACTTAAGTTGCCTCAACCAAATGTTATGAAACTTATACACAATGCTCATTACCACAAAACACAGATCAAGTTGAATTTTGGTGGCGTCACTTTAACCATTATCAAGTTATGCCCCTTTATAAATCGAAAAATTGCAAGATTTTTAGTTTCCGTTCTGTAACTTAAGTTTGCCCCAACCAAACATTATGAAACTTATACACAATACTTATTACCACAAAACTCAGATCTAGTACAAATTTGGGTAGCATCACTTTTATTGTTTTTGAGTTATGTCCCTTTATAATGTTGTATGCAAGCGGGGGCATCATCTGTGTCCATGGGGACACATTTTTTATACGACCGCAAAAAAATTTTTGTGGTCGTATACTGGTATGACGTTGGCGTCGTCGTCGTCCGGCGTCGTCGTCGTCGTCTGGCGTCGTCCGGCGTCGTCCGAAGACACATTGGTTTTCGCACTCTAACTTTAGTTTAAGTGAATGGATCTCTATGAAATTTTACCACAAGGTTCAATACCACAAAAGGAAGGTTGGGATTGATTTTGGGGGTTATGGTACCAACAGTAAAGGAATTAGGGGCCAAAAAGGGGCCAAAAATAAGCATTTTTGTAACTTCCAGACATAACTTGTGTGTTAGTGTATGGATCTCTCTGACATTGTACCACAAGGTTCCATATCACAAAAGGAATGCTGGGATTGATTTTGGGGGTAATTGCCTCAAAATTTTAGGAATTAGGGGCCAAAAAAGGGGCAAAAAACAAGCATTTTTCTAGTTTCATGACAATAACTTGTGTGTAAGTGTATGGATCTTTCTGAAATTGTACTACAAGGTTCCATATCACAAAGGGAAAGCTGGAATTGAGTTTGGGGGTAATTGCCGAAACGTTTAGGAATTGGGGGCCAAAAAGGGGCCAAAAATAAGCATTTTTCTAGTTTCCAGACAATAACTTGTGTTCAAGTGTATGGATCTCTCTGAAATTGTACTGAAAGGTACCATACCACAAAGGGAAGGCTGGGCTTGATGATGGGGGTAATTGCCTCAATATTTTAGGAATTAGGGGCCAAAAAGGGGCAAAAAACAAGCATTTTTCTAGTTTCAGGACAATAACTTGTGTGTAAGTGTATGGATCTTTATGAAATTGTACTACAAGGTTCCATATCACAAAGGGAAAGCTGGATTTGAGTTTGGGGGTAATTGCCCTTAATGTTTAGGAATTTGGGGCCAAAAAGGGGCCAAAAAACACATTTTTCTAGTTTCCAGACAATAACTTGTGTTCAAGTGTATGGATCTCTCTGAAATTGTACTGCAAGGTACCATACCACAAAGGGAAGGTGAGGATTAAGTTTGGGGGTGATGAATCATAAGGGGGTTCCAAAAATTTGGGGGGGGGGATTTTTTTTTTTTTCCTTTTTTTTTTCTTTTAAAATTTTCCATTTTAAGTTGGTTATTTCTGATTTATATTTAAAAGCAAATAATAATGATATGGTAGGAGATACACACCAAACAGGATGTGTAAATTATTATATAATAAGTATTGTGTAATAGCAAGAAATTTTCAATTGCACAGTATTGCACAATAGCAAGAAATCTTCAATTGCACAGTATTGTGCAATAGAAAGAAATCTTCAATTGCACAGTATTGCGCAATAGCAAGAAATTGTCAATTGTACAGTATTGCGCAATAGCAAGAAATATTTAATTGCGCAGTATTGTGCAAAAGAAGATACTTCGTATAAATTGCTTATTTCTTGATCAATTTCAATGGGGTTTTATTCTTGAATTCTTGGGGTTCTTTAATATGCTGAATCTAACCGTGTATTTAGTTTTTGGATTTTGGGCACCGTTTTTAAATTGGTCCACATTGAGGTCCAAAGGGTCCAAAATTAAACTTTGTTTGATTTCATCAAAAATTGAATTATTTGGATTCTTTGATATGCCGAATCTTACCGTGTATTTAGATTCTTAATTTTTGGCTCCGTTTTCAAATTGGTCTACATTAAGGTCCAAAGGGTCCAAAATAAAACTAAGTTTGATTTTAACAAAAATTGAATTCTTAGGGTTCTTTGATATGCTGAATCTAAACATGTATTTAGATTTTTGATTATGGGCCCAGTTTTCAAGTTGGTCCAAATCGGGGTCCAAAATTAAACTTTGTTTGATTTCAACAAAAATTGAATATATGGGGTTCTTTGATATGCTGAATCTAACCATGTATTTAGATTTTTGATTTTGGGGCCCTGTTATCAACTTTGTCCACATTGAGGTCAAAAGGGTCCAAAATTAAACTTTGTTTGATTTCATCAAAAATTGAATTCTTGGGGTTCTTTGATATGCTGAATCTAACCATGTATTTAGATTTTGGATATTAGACCATAATAGGTGAATGTCCAATTTAAAATTTTTAAGTTCTTAGACCACATTCATTCTGTGTCAGAAACCTATGCTGTGTCAAATATTTAATCACAATCCAAATGCAAAGCTGTATCAAGCTTGAATGTTGTGTCCATACTTGCCCCAACTGTTCAGGGTTCGACCTCTGCGGTCGTATCAAGCTGCGCCCTGCGGAGCATTTTATTTTTTATATGCTGAATCTAACCATGGAATTAGATTTTGGATATTGGACCATTAAATAGATTAACTGTCCCATTTTAAATTTTTAAGTTATCTGACCACATTTATTCTGTGTCAGATATCTATAATGTGTCAAATATTTAATCACTATCCAAATTCAGAACTGTATCAAGCTTGAATATTGTGTCCATACTTGCCCCAACTGTTCAGAGTATGACCTCTGCGGTCGTATCCAGCTGCTCCAGGCGGAGCACATTTTTTATACTATAAGGATGAGCAAATCAGGTGAGTGTGAGTTTGTAAGTTTCATTGCACTGTACTTATTGTTTTGAGGAAGGTGAACTTTCTGGTAATAAGACCCATCACGTCCAGGCTGAGAAACTGGGTAGGCAAAAGCTCACATTAAATCTGTGCTGATATATTGTGTTACATGTCCTCCTTTAAACCATGACCCATGGTAGTGCTTTTATTAAAGGAGGAAGATACAGAACATACATACATGTGACATACTATACGCACAGTATCGGATTTGACCCGGAACTTGTTAATCATTGGCAATATTAATTATGTGGAAAACAAAAGGGCCTGGAATGGCGTAATTTTTAATCAACACCATTGTCCTACATTAGTTACATATAAAGTTGAATTCTTTGATTCGTCATGTTTACGTCATGACAGCTTACAATATGGACCTTGTTATTTTAGTATTATAGATATATATATATATAGAGAGAGAGGAAGTTTTTTAATTGCTAACATTTGCCCATACTATTTCAGATTACAGATGTTTGAAGAGAGTTGAGACTATATTACCAGAAGATATAAAATGTCCAATTATCAACAGGTATAAGACATAAACATTTTAAGTAAAAACTTGCATATAAATTTAAACATCTAAAATATTTAAATAATGATATCAAGGATTTTAGAATGGAAGTTTGGTTGTTTCTGTAGAAATATTATAACAAATGGAATATATCTTCCTAATTTTTATGCTTATTGTATTTACAGAGCTTTTACATAAAATCCAATCCATACAAATGTAATATTCCTTTAAAAAAAAACCATTCTTAAAGGTTATTAATATTGCATTGCAGCAAAATCCTTGAAAATTGTTTTATTGGTACTACAATTGATTTTATTTTTAATAGTTTAATAGTACCTAAACATGCATTGCTATCCAGGTATCACTTACAATGTATGTTGAAATATGGTGTTTATATTTATATTTTGGCATTGCACAAGGTCATAATTAATTGAAATTGAATTATCTGCAAAGAGAGTACTTTTTTTTAAATCAGTACTTTGTGTATTTTTTTCTTTTGGGGATTTGTTTTAGGGCTTAGTAAGGTACTGATTACCATGCTCACAAGTGATGCAATATAAAAATTGAAAGATAATTATTAAGAGCCTTTAGATTGGACAAAATAAATTGGCTATGCACAGTCTTTGGAAAGATTCTTATTATAGTCTGTTATGTTACTGTTATGCAATTGTGTATTATTTAGAAAGGCATTTGTCAATGATTGTTAAATGTTTAGGAAGAACAAAACTTAATTTTATTTGATCTTTTATTCAGAATTATACCACCAGAAGAAACAGATACAGTTTATAAGATACAGTGGCAGTCAGTAGTTACAGGTTCACGTAAGAAAGCAAGAAAACATATAAATTTTAGCCCACTTGACCCAAAGGGTTATCATGAGCTTTTTCTTAGTGTCTGTGGTCCATTTTCAACTAGTTGTCATAATTGTTATGCCAAAATTGTATGAAAAACCCCTTGGTTCATTGATTTTAATCATAGCCACAATCATCTTTAGCTTGTTGTTTCAGAATGCGAGACCAATAGGGATTGCAATCCAGTGGGTGGAGTAAACAATTTGTATTCAGCTTTATATTTCAGAGGGTAGAAGACCTGGAGGCTTATAACCTTGTATACAGATGCCTGATGTTAAGAAGTTTCTGACTGTCAAATGTGTGTTTTCCTTGACCTCATTTTTCCCTTGTGCAACACTTGAGGGGGACATACAAATACTAGGTGTCTGTCTGTCGGCTTTGCTAGCATTCATATGTACAATTCCTGCCAGATTTTTATAAAACTTATATCATCATACCTGCCAACTTTTGAAAGTCCCCATGGGGGTTTTAGTGCGCGACAACAATTCTTTGCGACATATTTTGCGCGTGCTGTTTTGTGGTCTAGAAAAAGTGTCATATTTGTATGATGAGATTACAAGCCTTTTTCTTAAGTTTACTGATTCAGTAGAATAGATGAATCTGTAGCTAGAAGACCAGGATTTATTTTCTTGTGTTAGGATATTAAATGATTGTTGCATTTGAAATTTAAAATTATGCACAAAGAAGGACTTTTATCAGGTTGGGAACAACACCCCAAATGAGGGGTAACCCCTCAATGTAAGGACATTAAAAACCAATTTTAAGTACAAATGAGCATATATCTATATTATTTGAAGAAACTTTTCCTAAAGAATTATACATCTATCTGGTATTATATGGTCAAAACATGTCCAAGAATTGTGTAATGTTCCTGGATTTTTATCTTCTTTATCATGTTTATTATTAAAAATAATTGGACCCCTCATTTAGAAAAGACTTTTAAGTTGTTCCAAATATAATGAATTTTCCCACTTTTAAGTTAAAAAATCTAAATTTTTCTTTTTTTTCTTTTTTACAACAGTAAAATGACCCCTTGTCTTAATGTCTTGGTGACAGTCCCTCATTTAAGGGATGTACTCCTCATTTGGGGGTTTGTTTCGAACCTGTTTGTTTGGTCCTTGTGAAAAATGAAGTACAAAAGGCCAATTAAATTTAATTAGTAGATTTTCATCCAGATTTTTGAAAAAAATGGGGCGGGTGGGAGGATTTTATTTTTTAAATTTTATTTCATATGAAACACTCTTCTGACGTGTTCTTCATACATGCAAGTGTAATAATAAGCTAATATCATGTATATACATGTATAAAGAATCGTACATTTTTTTTTAATTCTTAAATAAATATCTCTGATTGGCAACCACTGTTTTACATGCAATTGCCGCTTTAGAAACCTATTAATAGTATACAACAACAACGTGGATAAAATTAATGCTCTCTTCAGTTGGACTGCCTACACCAAATTTATTTTGCTTTCCAAGCTACGGTTTGTAGTCCCCATAAAATGAAGGAAATGCATTGGTATGCAACACAAGTATTATGAGTACAGTCTGAGAATAAAATGAAACTCAAACAGTGTTGAAAAAAATAGGGTTGGTGCTTATTGAATATGCAAATATAATATTACAATGTAAAACATGAACTTAACAAAAAAGAAGTTGTTTAATGACTCTACTGAGGGTATAGGGACAGAGGGTATTTGCTGTTTGTCAACAAAAAAAGACAGCCATGTGTAAATTTTAAGGGCTTTGTCGACTTTTTGAACACAATATACGTTCATAAATCTAACAACTTCGTGCTTGTGTCAATTTCTTTAATCCAGTCATGTTTTTTGTACCAATGTGTTCCACGATTCTTGCGCTTTGGATATCATTCACAGTCCAAATTTCCCGAGACAAAGTCATTGGATAAATAAAAAAAAATCCACGGTTTTCTAATCACAGAAATTTGTGAAATACCGCGATTTGCATTCTTGGACACCGCGTATTACTGGTAACCCGAATATTTCACGCCCTTCTCATAATCAATCTCTATTCTCAGTAGACGATCATATGGTGTCATCATAGAGCAGCAGAATATGTCGACTTAATCATTTTGCATGTTTGGTTGATTACTCGAAGAAATGCGAAAACCGAAATTTGAAACAGGAAGTTTTGAATGAAACAAAATTTTTGACGATTACCGGTAACGGAAATGAACAAATTCCGGAAATTGTAAATTTTTTAAAATAAAAAAAATCGGGGCAGGACGATTTCAGAGGGGCGGGCGGGGATGAAAATCTATCAATTAATTTTAATTGGCCAAATGTATAGAACATTGTACTTGAAATGATTTGCCCCATTTGGTAATTTAATTGAATACAAAAATGACATGTTACAGCAAGTGTAATGTCAATAAATTAGTGAATAAACTACTATTTATTATCTTTATGGTAGTACTGCATCATTGAATTTAGTCAATCAGCCATGCTTTTATTCTTAAGCTGTTTAAGAACCTCCTTGCAGATGAAAATTAACCTTCCATGTTCACGATTTTACAATTCTGACTAACACACAGAGGGTTGCAGTCTTGTAATTGACTGCTCCATAGGCTTACATGCAAAACAGCTCATCTTTGAAAATAAAAAAATAAAAAATGCTACATAGAAAAAAAATTTCATGTTCATATCATGTATGTATTAATGTGAAATTGTGATTTAATCGAAAAAAAAGTGGGTCATGCCACGAAGAATAAAAAGTTATGTAACCCTGTTGTCAAAACAATTTTTTTCTACTTTCTGTTTGCTGTTTTTACTAGGCCGCACCACTTCCAGTAAACATGATATCCTTCCACTTTCTTGGATTGATATCCCCAAAAAGATGCAAGATTTTTTTTAAATCTATATATATGTTTGAATTCAGCATAAACTTTTAATCAAACAGAAAAAATTGAGTCCAGAAAAAAATTCTGAAAAAAATGGACTATTTTATTTACCTCCATGTTTTGACATGCACCGGAAACTGGAGTTGTAATACAAGACTGGTACCAGAGGAGGAATACAACAAAAGTTTAAAATCTAGCATGTTAGAATAATCTTAAGAGAAAACGTTTTTGATTGGCTTATTAATTAGATCATGAGAAACACAGAATTTGATTGGCTGATCATGATTGTCTTCCCTTGGAAACAGTTCAAAAACGGGAACAATCGTATTTTTCGTGTAGATTTTTTACAAAATCGTGTTTTATAGGTTTTTTATCGTGACAAAGGGTCAAAATCGTGTAGTACACGCCTAAATCGTGAAAGTTGGCAGGTATGTATCATAGGTTTGTATCAGCATTGTCTTGGACAATTTCAAAAATTAGTTCTGATCAATAACTTTTTAATCCCCTTGGAAATGTTAATGATATGGAAAATTTAGTTGTTAGTGCTCTCATGTGTACAATTCTTGCCAGATTTTTATGAAACTTAATCTTAGGTTTATATCAATAATGTCTCAAAAATGTTAGAAAATCAGTGCTGATCAGTTATTTCCAAGAGTTGTGCTCCTTGGAAATATTAGTTATATGGAAAATTGCATTTTAAGCACTGTCACATAAACAATTTTTGTCAGATTTATATAAAATTTATACCAAAAGGTATAGCAATGTCTTAGAAAATTTAGAAAATCAGTGCATATAAAATATTTTTAAAAGAGTTATGCCCCTTGGAAATTTTAATTATATCAGATATTGCATTGCATTTTCTTTCAAGCCTTAATTTCTGTAAGATATTTATAATAATTTTAGAGTAAAAAGATGTTTTCTAAGGAATATAGATAATAAAATGTTTTGTTTATTGTATGGCGAATTGCAGGGTGTTGTATGGTGATTGCAAATTAACAACTTGTTTTCTGTACAGTATCTTGCAATATAGTGAGATCCAATTTGTTAGCCGCCATGATGTTAAAAACATAAAAACAATGAATTAAATAATTCAAATCTATATAACTAATAAACATGATAAAGGTCAATGGTGTTGTTTAAAAATTCACCATTCAAGGCCCTTTTATTTCCCATGTATAATTAAGGCTACCAATAATTAACACATTCCGGGTCGAATCCAACAAATACCAATAGTATATGTCACATGTAGTTTCCCCATTGTAGTTACCTGCTAACTTCTGTAAATACCTCCTCTATCAGGAAAACCTGGAATTCTTCTAGTATTCGTTTTATATGTATGTTACACTATATTACACTATTTAGCAAGTCTGTTTTCTTTTACCTCAATACCACTATTAGTTTTGGTTAATTAGTTAGAAAATTAAATTTAGTTTATAGTAAGTTTATTGTTGTAAGAAAACCAGGACTGGTTCAAACAGAATGATTTTGAAAGCAAAGAAAATGTGTACCTTACACCAAAATGACCCGTTTTCTCCCGACGTCTTGAGCCTTCATACTTTTTAAGTGATTTTCCCCACAAATTTGTAATCCTTCCTGGACAGGAACACTGTGTTAACTGTCAAATTGAGAGACCCATTAAGTGCATGGCTTCACTTGACAGCTTTGGTGTCAAATACACTGTTAATTATAATACAATGCTGACTGCTGTATCCCTATTTATGACATTTTTACCTATTATGTCTGTTTGTTTTGTTCACACATCATTGTCAATATAATGGAATTTTATGCGACTGTCATACAAGTGAGAGGTTTAGCTAGCTATAAAACCATGAAAATGCCTGTACCAAGTCAGGAATATGGCAGTTGTTATCCATTCGTTTGATGTGTTTGAGATTTTGATTTTGCCATTTGCCTAGGGACTTTCCATTTAGAATTTTCCTCAGTGTTCGATATTTTTGTTATTTTACTTTTTAACACCAATTACCTTAGCTTAAGGTCATAAATAATTGTTGTATTTCAAAGTTGTTAGACAAAAAACATGGAGTTACTTCCCCTTTTTTTTACCACTTTTTACAGTATCATCCTTAAATTGATGTTTTTTTTGTAAATTGTAATTGGCAAATTGAATACAAATACAAATCAGAATATTACTTAAATGATTTTAAAACAATTAAAAAATTAATTTTTGGAATTTTTTTTTTCACATCTACTTTTTTTAAATGTTTAAATATATATATGCTTAAATATTCTAATATCAATATCTTCTTAAGGAATTTAACCAACCATGCAAGACCCTCATGGGTAGTCCAGGTGGTTAAACCCCCCCTCCCCCCCCCCCCCCCCCTTGTCTTCTCAAGGAGGTGTAAGCCAGGGCTGACTGAGGAAGACCCTCATTGGTAGTCCAGGTCGTACCCCCCCCCCCCCCCCTTGTTGTCGTTATTTTCTTAAGAAATAATAACTAAAGCTGAAGGCCTAAGGTACTGTGAAACATGTGGCTTGTGAGATGAATAAAATTATGAATGAAATATTCTAATGCAATTATTTTGTACCAATGCTTCTGATTGGATGACAATCAGCGTAGAAGTCTCTATCTCCCTGTCTGTAGCTAAGGAAGCCAACGTTTTGAATTCCGGAATGTATTGACATGTAATTTCTTCAATGATAAACAAAAAACTCACATTTTGCACCTAGAAATCTTCTCTTTATCAAATTTTATTGCATTCTGAGGCGCACAAGAAGTAAGAAAAGCATCACCAGGTCAACTTAATTTGTGACATCCGCATAGCTTCAAATACAATACAGTTATCTCTTGAATGAGAGGGGTATGGCCTGGCTTAAATTGTTACAGTATAATACATTAATATTTCAATGGTTTATAATTGCTGTGAAAAAATGAAAATTAAAGTTTTGAATTATTTTCAGTTAATACTTAACCATGTGAATATGTTTTGGAAACTGTTAGATTTAAAAAAAAAAGTGTCCTCTAAATACTTAAATTCAGCTGAAAAAAAAGTTTGTATGCATTAATTATGACCTGAGATTTTCTTCTTCATTGCTGGTCATGACCTGTTTTTTCATTTTCATAGGTTGACAGGTATGGATCATTGATAATGTTAACTTTATGTGATAATTGTAGTAAAACTTTAACTTATTATAAGGACTATCAACATAAAATCAATCATAGATAGTAAGCAAAAGCAACATTTCAGCATGTGCACTCTTGTGTAGTTTCAAAACTACATGCTGTTCTCCTTATTAAATGTGCCATCATTTAAAAAAAAGATAATTTTTTGGTTATTAATTCAACTAAGATCTTTTGTTAGGGTTATTTAGCTGCAAAACATTGAAAAGAATAATACATTTTTTTTTAGAAATATGGTTAGTTACAGCAACCACTGTCGATCACGGCAGCATCTGTTACTTGGATTAAAAAAAAATATATATATGTAGGACTCTAAAGTGCGAAGGGGACGCTAAAGTACGATGGTCACGCTAAAGTGCGATGGTCTGCGCTGAAGTGCGATGCCTCCATACGCTAAAGTCTGATGTTCCGCGAAAGTATAGATGTTAGTAACGTAGATGGATTATGACGTTAACAGTCGTTTATACAAACCAAAAATGTACATACCGAAAGATAAATTAAGAATATTTGATTAACAACTTTTAAACCAAATGTCCATGACTTAACTAGTTTAAACCTAACCATGCTTTGTCGACTGAAGCAAACGTGTTTTTTTTTTGGGGTGCTGGAAGAAGGACATGTACCCTGCAGTCGACCATTTTACTTTATAGATACAAAATAGTATAGGCATAAGTATCCTGTATCCTGCTTCTATTTGAAGCAAACGAATACATTTAAATCATTGTTTACGTTGCAGTTTTCTTTGCGGTCCCCGTTAAAATATTGTCGATTTTATTGAAAAGTAACGTCAGAAAAATAAAGGTACATGTTTTTAAGCATAAATTTTAAACTGTCGGCTAAAACATTAGTTTGTACATTGTAGGAAAATATAACATGTATTTGTGCTCGCTATGAAAAAGGAGAAAGCTCGGCGAACATCGCCTTTCTCTCGCATTTAAATTAAAGCTTATACAAATAAATGTTACATGTTCCGACAATGAACAAAGTTTGTATTTGTAATTTACAATGACAATGACGACTGTAAGGGGAGGTGTTCACATTAGTGATAGACTGTGAACGGCAAGCTACACCAATTATCCAAATATTTAATACGCCCGAATTGTTAAAAATTATTTTACAGGAAATATAGTATTTTATGACACCAAAATTACCTTTTAGCAATTATTACGTGGTAGTTCTTCTAAATTTTGAAGTAATCACTTAAGCCTACCGGTAAATTATAAAGCCTATCACATATATTTAATATACCTTAGCATACTAGCTTTTGCAAAAAGACTATTTTTTAACATCCATGTACTTTAACGTTTTAAGCCCTCTAACCTTACCCTATTGGTCCATTGCACTTTAGAGTGATATACCATCGTAATTTAGCAAACAAACAACAATCGCACTTTAGCGTGTGACACCATCGTACTTTAGCGTAGACCATCGCACTTTAGCGTGACCATCGCACTTTAGAGTACCATCGCACTTTAGAGTCCTACATATATACTGGTATATATGTAGGACTCAAATCTATGGTGGGTTCCAGATCTATGGCAAATTCCTAATCTATGGTAAAAATGATGTCACAAACGCCAAATAAATCACAAATCTATGGCAGGTTTTTGTTTTCTCCAAATCTATGGCAGATTTGGATAGTACGTAATTTTCCGTCACAATTAAATAACGTCATGTAACGTTGAAGCTGCCGCTGACAGCGACGGTTTTGTTATACAAAAGGAAAAGGAAAAGATCAAAAAGTAAGTTTGCAAGGATCTAAATCAACCTTAATTCAGAATTGTTGTTGTTTCTATCCTTGATGCCTTCTTCTCGTGTTGCTGGTGTTGCCCTCACCCTTAATTGTACGAGCTTTTATTGTGCATTTTGGTTTGCTTTTTGCTGTTTTATGTAATGTTTTGTATCCCTATGATCTCTTAAATTTTCTATTAGAAGTAACAAAACGTAAATTATTTTGACATCTATATAACAGTGACTACTTGGACTGTTGTAGCAAATAATCTTTCTTGAGATTCAGTGGAGAGAAAAAAATATGTCATAGATTTCTTATAGATATTAATAATATTAATGTTTTCCCCGCTATAAATATGCGAATAACTGTACTGGGAGAAATAAGGATTTTATTTTATAATGTCAGGGGTTGGAGGCGAGTCAATGTTCATGACAGGACTTACATCGTCATCAGTCAAACAAAATTTAAATTATCTAACGCTCAAAGTCAAATAGATATTTGTTAAAAATTCAAACTACATTTTGTGTTGGTTAAATAATGGGTCAAGCATGCAGGTACCATGCACAGAGTAGAAAATACTTATCCTTCCGGGGCACATGATTTCAACCCTAAAGTCTGTGTTCATTTTACAAACGGTTATGGATATGCTTCCTAGTAATAGTCATATTTTGTTTTTCTTTTACAATGTACTGGTTTTTACTTAAAAGCAGCTCTTTCGCTACCTTTGGACATTTCGACCTCGAAATCATTGATCATTGGTCAGATATGTACTGACTGGTCCGACCTTTGCAGAAAATCTGTCATTGATTTGAAATCTAGAAATCCGCAATAGATTAGGATACTGAAAAAAAGTTGCCTTAGGTTAGGAAAATAAAAAAACACTGCCATAGATTAGGGTTCTAAAAAATCAGCCATAGATTGAGAATGGCATGACGTCATATTTACCATAGATTAGGAATCTGCCATAGATCTGGAACCCACCATAGATTTGAGTCCTACATATATATTGAAAGATTCATAAAATCCTGTTAACTTTTGGTAAATGATATTTCGTTAAGCCTTAAAGATAATGGCTAACACCTCCAGCTCTCGTCAAGCTACAGCTACTGAAAATACAAAGTAAAAAAAAAAATTTTACAATCATGACAAAGGGCCAAATTTATGTCTGTTTCATAACAACTTTTTCATTCTTTGAAGTATTATAATGGTACTAGGTAACATTATTTGCCAGTATCATAGGGTGTGTTGCAAGTAATGTTGGAATGTGTGCCTGCATGTCCCCTAGGTCACAAATTTAGCTGAACTTAGCATGTAAATGGCTCATTATTAGATATACCAGTTTGTGTCTTTCTTTAACTGTTGGTACCCTTGAAGAATATGTTGTCAATTTAATACAAGAAGTACCAGGGGGAGAAATACAGGCTCATAGGATTATCTAGGAAAGGGTAATGGGTAAACATAAATGAGACATCAATCCAAGGGAAAAAAAACACCAAAAATTATCAATTTATGTTGAGGGCAAAGTAAATTTCTTCAACAATAAACAGATGTCTATACAATATGTCAAAGTTCTTAATTTTGCAGAGTGTAAAAAAATTGGTCACAAAGAAACTATCATAAAAAATCTGCCAAAAATAAATGTATACAAGTAAAACATTATGCTCCTTTTGTTACTGGAGTTATACAACAAGTAAAACATTATGCTCATTTTGTTACTGGAGGTATACAACAAGTAAAACATTTTGCTCATTTTGTTACTGGAGGTATACAACAAGTAAAACATTATGCTCATTTTGTTACTGGAGGTATACAACAAGTAAAACATTTTGCTCATTTTGTTACTGGAGGTATACAAGTAAAACATTATGCTCATTTTGTTACTGGAGGTATACAACAAGTGTAACGGGGTATTTTCTAGGTAAATACAACACAAACGATGATCTAGGGTTCTTTTCTTTTAATACACTATATTTAGACCCTAAAACATATAACAACAAATAATAAATATTCACATGACAAGACAGTACATGTAACATATGGGCAAAGGGGAATAACTACAATTTATACTCATTCCTTTAAATATCTATATACTCAAATAAGCCCTTTACTCACAAAAATCTAACTCTTTAGTTAACTTTCCAATACAATATTCATATGTATCTCATGATAATAAATAATTATATACATCTCAAATCTTTTAAAGAGTTGTCCATTTTATAAATAAGTATATAAATTCTGACCAACATAAATATATCACATAAACTACACTTCACATAAACAGACAATCACTTAAATAAAACTAGACAGCACAGACATTACAAGTAAACAACATAGAACACAATGCTTACCATGTATATGGTACATAGGTCAGTGTAGAAATGGGAAACATCACAGTGCTGTGTGTATAAATCTGAGCACTACTACATGTCATATGAAAAGGTATTAATCCATATCCTGAATAAATAAAAATATAACATTCATAAGTCCAGTGACAGGACTATTTCACTAATTAAATAAAATACACAACTACATTTAAAATATGTAGTTTCAGAGTTCTGTATTATTCAAATACCAAATTTATCTATCTATTACTTTTAATGTAACTTTATAATATTTAAAGTACAAGAATGTTTTATATTAAAATGTTTAATATGACTCTGTGTTATTATCTTATAATTTAATGATTTAATCTTTTACTCTTTGATACTCCAAATATTCCTCCATTCAAATACATACATTCAATCCTTTCATAAAGTATTAAAATGACAAACTATTAATTTGTTAATTAGAAATAAGGTTAATCAACTGACCTGAATATAAGAATATTGAAAATCCAAGAATATGAAGTATAATATATATAAGAAATCAATTTCTCAAGCAGGTTATTTTTATACGACCGCAAAAAAATTTTTGTGGTCGTATATTGGTATGACGTTGGTGTCGTCGTCGTCGTCGTCGTCCGAAGACACATTAGTTTTCACACTCTAACTTTAGTTTAAGTGAATGGATCTCAATGCAATTTTACCATAAGGTTCAGTACCACAAAAGGAAGGTGGGGATTGATTTTGGGGGTTATGGTACCCACAGTTAAGGAATTAGGGGCCAAAAAGGGGCCAAAAATAAGCATTTTTGTAACTTCCAGACATAACTTGTGTGTTAGTGTATGGATCTCTCTGACATTGTACCACAAGGTTCCATATCACAAAGGGAATGCTGGGATTGATTTAATGGGTAATTGCCTCCAAATTTTAGGAATTAGGGCCAAAAAGGGGCAAAAAACAAGCATTTTTCTAGTTTCATGAAAATAACTTGTGTGTAAGTGTATGGATCTCTCTGACATTGTATCACAAGGTTCCATATCACAAAGGGAATGCTGGGATTGATTTTGGGGGTAATTGCCTCCAAATTTTAGGAATTATGGGGCCAAAAAGGGGCAAAAAACAAGCATTTTTCTAGTTTCATGACAATAACTTGTGTTCAAATGTATGGATCTCTCTGAAATTGTACTGCAAGGTACCATACCACAAAGGGAAGGCTGGGATTGATTTTGGGGGTAATTGCCCACAACGTTTAGGAATAAGGGGCCAAAAATTAGCATTTTTGTCGAGCCTGCGACTTTTGTCGCAGAAAGCTCGACATAGGGATAGTGATCCGGCGGTGGCGGCGGCGGCGTTAGCTAACTTCTTAAAAGCTTTATATTTTAGAAGGTGGAAGGTCTGGATGCTTCATACTTTGTATATGGATGCCTCATGTTACGAAGTTTCCGTCAGTCACATGTCCAATGTCCTTGACCTCATTTTCATGGTTCAGTGACTACTTGAAAAAAAAGTTAAGATTTTTTGTAATGTTAGATTCTCTCTTATTATAAGTAATAGGATAACTATATTTGGTATGTGCGTACCTTGCAAGGTCCTCATGCCCGTCAGACAGTTTTCACTTGACCTCGACCTCATTTCATGGATCAGTGAACAAGGTTAAGTTTTGGTGGTCAAGTCCATATCTCAGATACTATAAGCAATAGGTCTAGTATATTCGCTGTATGGAAGGACTGTAAGGTGTACATGTCCAACTGGCAGGTGTCATCTGACCTTGACCTCATTTTCATGGTTCAGTGGTTATAGTTAAGTTTTTGTGTTTTGGTCTGTTTTTCTTATACTGTATGCCATAGGTCTACTATATTTGGTGTATGGAATGATTGTAAGGTGTACATGTCTAGCGGGCAGGTGTCATCTGACCTTGACCTCATTTTCATGGTTCAGTGGTCAAAGTTAAGTTTTTGAGTTTTGGTCTTTTTTTCTAATACTATGTGCAATAGTTCAACTATATTTGGTATGTTCGTACCTTGCAAGGTCCTCATGCCCGTCAGACAGTTTTCACTTGACCTCGACCTCATTTCATGGATCAATGAACAAGGTTAAGTTTTGGTGGTCAAGTCCATATCTCAGATACTATAAGCAATAGGTCTAGTATATTCGGTGTATGGAAGGACTGTAAGGTGTACATGTCCAACTGGCAGGTGTCATCTGACCTTGACGTCATTTTCATGGTTCAGTGGTTATAGTTAAGTTTTTGTGTTTTGGTCTGTTTTTCTTATACTGTATGCAATAGTTCAACTATATTTGGTGTATGGAAATATTTTATGATCTATTTGGCAGTCACGCAGGTTTTATTTGACCTTGACCTCATTTTCAAGGTTCATTGCTCAGTGTTAAGTTTTTGTGTTTTGGTCTGTTTTTCTTAAACTATAAGCAATAGGTCAACTCTATTTGTTGTATGGAAGAATTGTTAGCTGTACATGCCTGCCTAGCATGGTTCATCTGACCTTGACCTCATTTTCATGGTTCATTGGTCAATGTTTAGTTTACTTGGTTAATGTTAAGTTTATGTGACAGTTGTAATAAAGCTTTATATTTAGGACTATCAACATAATATCAATGATTAGTAAAGAAGGCGAGACATTTCAGCGTGTGCACTCTTGTTCTTATACTGTATGCCATAGGTCTACTATATTTGGTGTATGGAATGATTGTAAGGTGTACATGTCTAGCGGGCAGGTGTCATCTGACCTTGACCTCATTTTCATGGTTCAGTGGTCAAAGTTAAGTTTTTGAGTTTTGGTCTTTTTTTCTAATACTATGTGCAATAGTTCAACTATATTTGGTATGTTCGTACCTTGCAAGGTCCTCATGCCCGTCAGACAGTTTTCACTTGACCTCGACCTCATTTCATGGATCAATGAACAAGGTTAAGTTTTGGTGGTCAAGTCCATATCTCAGATACTATAAGCAATAGGTCTAGTATATTCGGTGTATGGAAGGACTGTAAGGTGTACATGTCCAACTGGCAGGTGTCATCTGACCTTGACCTCATTTTCATGGTTCAGTGGTTATAGTTAAGTTTTTGTGTTTTGGTCTGTTTTTCTTATACTGTATGCAATAGTTCAACTATATTTGGTGTATGGAAATATTTTATGATCTATTTGGCAGTCACGCAGGTTTTATTTGACCTTGACCTCATTTTCAAGGTTCATTGCTCAGTGTTAAGTTTTTGTGTTTTGGTCTGTTTTTCTTAAACTATAAGCAATAGGTCAACTATATTTGTTGTATGGAAGAATTGTTAGCTGTACATGCCTGCCTAGCATGGTTCATCTGACCTTGACCTCATTTTCATGGTTCATTGGTCAATGTTTAGTTTACTTGGTTAATGTAAAGTTTATGTGACAGTTGTAATAAAGCTTTATATTTAGGACTATCAACATAATATCAATGATTAGTAAAGAAGGCGAGACATTTCAGCGTGTGCACTCTTGTTCTAGTTTCAGGTCAATAACTTGTGTGTAAGTGTATGGATCTTTATGAAATTGTACTGCAAGGTTCCATATCACAAAGGGAAAGCTGGGTTTGAGTTTGGGGGTAATTGCCCTTAACGTTTAGGAATTTGGGGCCAAAAAACAAGCATTTTTCTAGTTTCAAGACAATAACTTGTGTTCAAGTGTATGGATCTCTCTGAAATTGTACTGCAAGGTTCCATATCTTAAAGGGAAAGCTGGGTTTGAGTTTGGGGGTAATTGCCCTTTATGTTTAGGAATTTGGGGCCAAAAAACAAGCATTTTTCTAGTTTCCAGACAATAACTTGTGTTCAAGTGTATGGATCTCTCTGAAATTGTACTGCAAGGTACCATACCACAAAGAGAAAGCTGGGATTGAGTTTAGGGGTGATGAATCAAAAGGGGGTTCAAAAAATTGGGGGGGGATTTTTTTTTACTTTTTTTTCTTTAAAAATTTTCCATTTTAAATTGGTTATTTCTGATTTATTATTATAACAATTTTTACAACACACAGTTACATTTACGACAAAATTTATGTCGATTAAAAACCTCCTGATCTGAGTCCTAATCTCCTGACCAAAATTTCCCAATCTCCTGATCTGAGTTTCACAGTCCATCACATGTATGTTTATATATAAAAGCAAATAATAATGATATGGATTGAATAGGTAAATTAAAAATTTTAAAGTTCTTAGACCACTGTCATTCTGTGTGAGAAACGTATGCTGTGTCAAATATTTAATTACAATCCAAATTCAGTGCTGTATCAAGCTTGAATGTTGTGTCCATACTTGCCCCAAGTATTCAGGGTTCGACCTCTGCGGTCGTATCAAGCTGCGCCCCAGCGGAGCATTTTATTCACCACTGCATTTCAATATGTCTGCAGTATTAATCTACCAGAAACAAAGAAAACCTATAGTAAGGCCTAAGGCCTAAAGATTGACCAATCAAAAGGTTACAATTTTCCCTCCAAAATGATATGACAGAAAAGAGGTTCATCAAAGGATAAAGAGAATGATACTAGAACAATAGTACTAGAAATAGAAACAATGAATAACTAAACTATCAAACACTGCAATAAAATAAATAATCAACAATATCATATTTAATATATATCAATCAAATATGACTCTACCACACAAGTAAAACAATATGCTCATTTTGTTACTGGAGGTATACAACAAGTAAAACATTTTGCTCATTTTGTTACTGGAGGTATACAACAAGTAAAACATTATGCTCCTTTTGTTACTGGAGGTATACAACAAGTAAAACATTATGCTCATTTTGTTACTGGAGGTATACAACAAGTAAAACATTATGCTCATTTTGTTACTGGAGGTATACAACAAGTAAAACATTTTGTTCAATTTGTTACTGGATATATACAACTTGTAAAACATTTTACTTATGAAAGGACTTTGCATCTGTTCAATTATGATATTATTTTATTCTCAGGTACCTGGTCAAAGCAGGCTTCAGTTATCTTAATTGTGGTAGTCATCATTTATACAGGTAAATCATTTTAGATCTAGATAAGATAATAGTTATTTTTATACTATATGCAAATTTCTTATATTATCCATTTATTTCATTGGACACACAGCATTTGTTAATTTTCACTAACCTTTCATAAGCCTCGCCCACCCATAGCAACGTGATGATATTAGCAACCTGACCCCGAAGTTTGCCGATTTGGAACAATTAACACCCGCTACGGCAGAGGTTTACAGATTCTTATTTCTACATCATTTCCATCATTTTGTTGTTGTTATTGCTAAACTATCTTGATGATATTTATGACTTTATTTTTTTAACAATTGTCCTAATAATAACATTGTGCATGCTTAAATCATAAGGCATTCAATATAATAAAAAATATACTGCCCTTGGATGAAGGTTTTAGCGTGATTAACAAACTCAATGAAAAAATTATCACCCGTGACTTTGTCTTGGGAATATAATTTTTTCCCTCGTGTGTTAATCTACCCTAACATCTTCATCCAAGGGCAGTATGTTTATATTTTACCTCAGTATTATGACTGTATGTTTTTTCCTAATAAAAATATTTGTGCTATTTCTTTCTAGAGATTATTAGCCAGTAAAAAGTTGCAAAGACTATTATCTCTGTAAATAGTTTAAAATCATATTTCCTGAACTTTTTCATACTTAAATATTTGTGATTAGGCAAAAATGACATCATTGACTAATAGCTTTGCTTACACTTTTGCATCGTAAGGAAAAACACTGAAATATCTGGAACATAAAATTCTTCTAATTGTTATAATTAGATAACCATATGTTGTTGTTGTTGTGACTAATCATCAAAATCTGGTTATCAAAATAATGTATTACTTCGCAGGAGAAATGTTTACAGAAAAAACATGCAAAATCTGCATGAAAAATGACTTTTTTGATAACTTTAACAAACTATAACTATAATAAACACTTTCAAAATGACTGGTTATCAGGGGAATAGCAATTTGGTTTTCCCTTCAATTCTACTATAATTTTGCCTTGAGCAATAGTTGGCATCTCAGGGATAAAAAACTTGCTATTCCCCTCATTACCAGTCATGATCACTAGTCTACTAACTCTGCTACCATTTATTGGTATGATTGTCCATTAGTAATTTTTAGAGGCATTTGCATTTATGGCCATCGTGTAAATGCCATTTTGTTTACATGAAATAGAGTACACACATTGTTCATCCTAGAGCTCTTTCAAAATCGTTTTAAAAGTATGTGATTGACTTTTGTATTGGGAATTAAGTTTATTTGATTAAGTATTCCTCAAATGCAATATTTAAATGGAAGTTTAATAGTTAACCCTTTTACTTAGAATTTTGATCCACTTAAGGTTACAAAATGTACATAACAGACTTCATTTTCAACACAGTGATACAAGAAATTCAGTGCCCTCTATCGGCTATCTCGATCCGTCTTATTACCAAAGCATACCTTCTTCTTTTCTGTAACTTCCTCCTACTAATGAGGAGCACATCCAGTATGGATTTAAAAACAGTTGAGGCTTATTTTACATGGGCACAATATTGTTAATCATTAAAGAGACTTATATTACACGGGTACAAATTGGCGATAAAATCCATTCAAGAAGTATTACCAACACGGTTAATTCTATTTTTTAGGAATTAAATTTTGCTGTTGTAAGAGAATAAATATGAGCTCTCTTGCTTGTTTGAATATCAAAATATTTTTGTTAATTTAATCAGAGTATCGTATTGGTAAACCTTACTGTGTTTGGGGATCTGCAACAAGTCGTGTTTATTTCCCTTGTAGTAATATGTGGTATTAAGATATAGCATTACCGGACTGGTTTACAATGCCCGGTATTACGTATGGAAACAGTAAAAAAGAAAGGATCTTAGTTACTGTAGATCTTAACATTTTCTGTAAGATAAACTTTTCAGTTTGACACATGTCGCGATGCTGAAACAAAAGTATCATGGATGAAACGTTGAAGAGTGAATGAAAAAAATAACAGAAGAAGCTTTGTCAGCGTTTAAGGCAGCAATATGCTGAGATTTTGAAGTGTCTCTATTCATTCACATTGCGTGTTATGCCAAATGGACTTTTCATGTGCGCAAAATCTAGTCATTGTTGTTTAACTGAATTATTATTAAAGATTTGAATAAATAATTAAAACTGTTCAAACGTTTTCAATAAGTTAAATGTATTGTGATGCCAGGCATATTTCAAAACGTTAATGCAATCAAGAGGTCAGAGAACGTAAATTTCTCGATGTTTGGACAATGGACAGACTGTGGTTGTTTCTTTAAAATTTACAATAGATTAATAAAATTTTTGAAGAAAACATATATTGTGTTCAATATTAATAATCCTAGACTCTCAAGGCTCTCAGAATGCAGGATTTTGTATCTAATTTTTCAAAAACTACACTATTAGCTTAAATGGGGTAAAGAGGTCTGGGAATCTTTCAAACTTGATGATCTACAAATAAGTTTTTCAAGAGTTCTGAGATATCAATCATCAAAATGAAGACTTATTATTTAGGTTAGTATTGACCCACAAAAACCAAGCAGTATATCTTTAAATGTCTCATGTTTTGCCTCGGTGGTTATGTTGAATTTAATTTATGATGCCAACATTAAAAGTAGGTTCCTATTTTGAATTTGACCATTTTCATGTTATTTGTTCACCAGTTATGGGACTTTAATGATTAAAAAACTATGGAATTTTTCATGTCTCATGAAAACTCAAGTTATATTTTACCTTAAAGAAAATTTTATGCAAGCTAGATTTGTTAAAGACCGGCTGTTTTTAGCTCACCTGGTCCAAAGGGTCAACGTCGTCCCCATCTGTTATCGTTAACTTTTACCAAACTTGGCTACAAACATCATTATGGTGTCTAGTTTGAAAAATGTGCTAGATGACCCTTCCTTTAAGGTAGCACTACAGTCTGACTTTTCTGACTCCAACCAACAGTCTTTAAAGATTAATTTCTCCAAAACTGCTCAATGGATTTTTAAAATCTTTAACTCATTTTAAAGCTGTAATATAACTCTTTCTTAATCTAAATATACAGTTATTTTTGGTATCATCAATTAAAAAATATATTTCATTAACTGCCAAAAAAGTGCTCTCCCAACTTGGACGAAAATAGCACATCAGGTCAAATGTTAATAAAAATCTGTTTTCATCCCTTTAATTGACCATGCACAAGCTACAAAACTGTGTCTCAGATTTTTTATATATGCCTTCAATTAGAAGATATATTGATTCAACTGCTGGGTGCCAAACCTCATTTCACCTTTCATCTTTGGAGACCTATAAATTCATTCAGAAACAAATTATCCCAAAACTGGGACACGGTTTTGTAGAAAATACCCCATTTAATCACATATATCAAAGCCAAACCAAAGGGGGCACCCATAGAGATTCTATTTTCATTTTATGATGATAATTCCCATGAAAAATTGTTTTGAAAAATCACCTAAAAACTGAATATCCCCATTTGAACCCCTATAAATGCAACATAAATATAAATATAAAAATAATTCCTCTGGGAACACCCCCAGGAGTGTTCTGACACCATTATTTTATCAATAGAACCACACAGTTTGTGTCTTTTGTACACTTAAACTGTAAATTTTGCATGATTTGTGCACTGTCCATCCCTTAACACTAATTTAGCATTTGGCGGGAGTTTGACGTCCTAGATTTGATCAACATCTGTAATGTAGTAATTAAATATGGTCAAAGCTCCTCCCCTGTCCAAACAGTATGAGATAAGAGAATATTAACAGTGATCAGTTGCATATAATCAATATTTAACATAATTCTCACTAGGAAATAATAATTATTATTCATATTTAAAAAGAAATATATGATACTGTGAAATTAACTAGAAACTTAAAACTATGCAATAACAAATATTTTCATACTACCTATACTGTGCTCTACAAAATAGAACTGATACTTTTTATAGTACAAGGTGAAAAAAAAAACATTTATCCAGGTGATTTGTCTAGAATAAGGATTGTCAGATTCAGATACAAATTCTTTTGCCTTAGTAAGAACATTTGTCAGAGGCTTTCAAAATTTTGTTTAAGCTACTTTTACACATTTATATCTATCTACCGGTATATATGTCACATTTTTGGTTTTGTTGAAACCTGGTCTAATAATTTAGACAATGAAATTAACATATCAGGCTTTAGTCTAATTGATATAAATACCAGGAAAAAACACAAAAAAGCTAGGCGAAATTCAGGTGGCATCTGTGTACCTGCTAAAAATAGCATAGCAAAAGGTATTAAAAAACTACCTAAGAATCACCCAGATATTCTTTGGATTAAATTAGACCGTTCATTCTTTAAATTTGATAAAGATGTGTACATAGCCACAGTCTACATATCCCCTGAAAAATCAAGTGTAAATGTTTCTGGAATTGAACCAATTTATAATCAGTTACTTGCTGATACAGTAAAGTATAGTAGTTTAGGACATATCATGCTACAAGGAGATTTTAATGCATACACAAATACTAAACCTGACTATGTCACATTTGATGAATCTAAGAAAACAAATCTAGAGGATAGTCATTATGTTGATGATAAAATAATGTCAAGAAATAATCTTTACCCCAAACTAATTAATAATACTCACTGGTAAAATTTTGCTTAGTTTATGCAAAGAGTCAGGCCTAAGAATATTAAATGGAAGAACTATAGGTGATCTTCATGGCAAATACACCTGTATTACTTATAATGGATGTAGTGTTGTTGATTACATGCTTGTTTCAAATGATTTATTAAATTTAATAGGCCTCTTTGAGGTTCATGAGTTTACTTCACTTTCAAATCATTGTATAATCTGTTGTACTTTATTAACAAATTATTTTTTTACGAGTTAAGTATTGTGCAATGTCAACTGGATCCACTCCCTAATAAATTTATATATGGTCGCTAGAGGCAATTGACCTTTATACTCAAAACAGTAACAGCACAACAAGTCAGAAAAAATTTGAAGAATATTTACAAACAGATTTTAAAGATGCTGACAAAGCTGTAGAAGCTTTCACCTCAATTCTCTATGAAAATGCTCAAAAGTCAGCTAAATTAGTTAGAAGTTTCCCAAAAAACAAAACAAACAAGAAGTCTAACCGAAAACCTTGGTTTTCAGAATCTTGTAAAGATCTTTGCACTTCAGTGAAAAATTATGAAAAACTTGTAAATAAATTTTCTGAAAATGCAGAGTACAGGAAAAATTTTAATTCCTTTCGGTCAAAATTTAGACGACTTTGTAAATATGAAGAAAAAACATATAAAAGAAAAATATGCTCTGAACTCAGTAACATATGTGAAAAGAATCCCAAGGTTTTCTGGAAGATTTTGAACAAACTTAGTAAGCAGTCAGAGGTAAAAGATAAATCTGCTAATGATATTCCCCAAAAAGATTTTATTAAATTTTATAAAAATCTTAATAAGTCTGATCATGAGTATAATGATCACCAAAGCAATATAGTCCACAAATTTGAATCACTAAAAGCTAATTTAAATTATTCTGTTATATCAAATGAAATAAACACAGAAATAAATGCAGATGAAATAGTAAAAGCTATTAGATTGCTCCGTAATGGTAAGAGTTCATCTGCTGATATGATCTCAAATGAAATGTTGAAAAATGTTGTACCAGTATTAATTAAACCACTTCATAAATTATTTAATTTTATTTTTACTAGTGGAAATTTTCCAAAGACCTGGAATGAAAGTTTTCTAGTTCTTCTCCACAAAAAGGGAAACAAATTTGACCCTGGAAATTATAAGGGCATATCCATCAGTTCCAACCTTGGCAAGCTGTTTAATAAAGTTATCTATAACAGACTTATGAACTTCATAAATAGTAAAAACTTAATCAACAAAAATCAGATTGGTTTTAAAGAAAATAGTCGCACTGCTGATCACATATTTACACTAAAATCAGTAATTGATCATTATAAACAACAAAATAAAAAGGTATTTGCAGCTTTTATCGATCTCAAAAAAGCCTTTTACTGTTTGGCGAATAGGATTGTTTCATAAACTTTTGATACATGATATTCCAAATAGAATTTTTAGAATTGTTATTCAATATATACTGACTCAGTATGCAGAATCAAGTTTTCAAATGGACTCAGTTCAGCATTTTTATCTGAGTGAGGAGTAAAACAAGGAGATGTACTGAGCCCTGTACTTTTTAACCGGATTTTCGAAGGAAATATCGGTTATTAAAATGGTGACATACGGCGAGTGGCTGGGCGGATCAGGCGGCTGCCAAACAGATTGTCAGCAGAATAACATGAAAACGCTTTAACAAATTTTTTTCAAATTTAAATATGTTGTTTCCTGGGACTTAATGAAGGTCTAGTTCAATTTTCAAGATATTAATATATCTCCTTTGTGAGTTATCACCATTTTTAATATCCAAAAGTGGAATTTTTAAATATTTTACTCTTGTTATCTTTTTTATGACTAAGCATAATGTCTTATCTCACAACAAAATATTGGAGTGACAGATTTATTTGAAAATTATCTATTTCTAAGTGGTAATGATTATAAGCTATATTATTAGACATTTTGAAGTTAATTACATTATTAATTATTAATTAGATCTGGGTTATATCTTAGCATATAATATCATTGGAGTGACAGATTTATTTGAAAATTTTCTGTTTCCTGATAAGATCTGTAGGACTGTATATATTAGACATTTTGTAGATAATTAAGTCTCCCTAAACCATATATATTCTTACCCCCACCCCCTTTCAATTTGAGAATGTGCTTTTATCTTGTAAACGGTTGAGATCCCCACCCCTAAACCATATATATTCTTGTATGGGACAATAAAACAAATCAAATGAAATATTTGGGGAGTCCCCGGGTTCACCCCCACCCCCTACTTTTTGAAAACTTGTAAACAGTCAAGATCCCAACCCTGAAACCATATATATTCTTGTATGTGACAACAAAACAAATCAAATGAAATAAAAGGCGAGTCCCCTGGGGTCACCCCCACCCCCTCCTGTTTGAGAAATTGAAAACGGTCAAGATCCCCACTCCTAAACCATATATATTCTTGTACGGGACAATAACACAAATCAAATGAAATATGGGGGAAGTCCATGGGGGTCACCCCCACCCCCCTTCTTTTTGAAAACTTTTAAACGGTCAAGATCCCCACCCCAAAACCATATATATTCTTGTATGGGACAATAAAACAAATCTAATGAAATAAAAGGTGAGTCCCCTGGGGTCACCCCACCCCATCCTGTTTCAGAACCTGTAAACTGTCGAGATCCCCACCCCTAAACCATATATATTCTTGAATGGGATAATAAAACAAATCAAATGATATATAGGGGAAGTCCATGGGGGTCACCCCCACCCCCCTTCTTTTTGATAACTTGTAAACAGGCAAGATCCCACCCCTAAACAATATGTATTCTTGAATGGGACAATAAAACAAATCAAATGAAATTGTGGGGGAGTCCCCTGGGGTCACCCCCACCCCCTTTTTTTTGAAAATTTGTAAACGGTCAAAATCTCCACCCCGAAACCATATATATTCTTGTATGGGATAATAAAACAAATCAAATGAAATACAAGGCGAGTCCCCTAGGGTCACCCCACCCCACTTCTTTTTGATAACTTGTAAACAGTCTAGATCCCCACTCCTAAACCATATATATTCTTAAATGGGACAATAAAACAAATCAAATGAAATTGAGGGGGGTCCCCTGGGGTCACCCCCACCCCTTTTTTTTTATACGATGCCAAAAAATTTTTGTGGTCGTATATTGGTATGACGTTGGCGTCGTCGTCGTTGTCGTCGTCGTCCTGCGTTGTCCAAAGACACATTGGTTTTCGCACTCTAACTTTAGTTTAAGTGAATGGATCTCTATGAAATTTTACTACAAGGTTCAATACCACAAAAGGAAGGTTGGGATTGATTTTGGGGGTTATGGTACCAACAGTAAAGGAATTAGGGGCCAAAAAGGGGCCAAAAATAAGCATTTTTGTAACTTCCAGACATAACTTGTGTGTTAGTGTATGGATCTCTCTGACATTGTACCACAAGGTTCCATATCACAAAAGGAATGCTGGGATTGATTTTGGGGGTAATTGCCTCAACATTTTAGGAATTAGGGGCCAAAAAAGGGGCAAAAAACAAGCATTTTTCTAGTTTCATGACAATAACTTGTGTGTAAGTGTATGGATCTTTCTGAAATTGTACTACAAGGTTCCATATCACAAAGGGAAAGCTGGAATTGAGTTTGGGGGTAATTGCCAAAACGTTTAGGAATTGGGGGCCAAAAAGGGGCCAAAAATATGCATATTTTTAGTTTCCAGACAATAACTTGTGTTCAAGTGTATGGATCTCTCTGAAATTGTACTGCAAGGTACCATACCACAAAGGGAAGGCTGGGATTGATGATGGGGGGTTATTGCCTCAATATTTTAGGAATTAGGGGCCAAAAAGGGGCAAAAAACAAGCATTTTTCTAGTTTCAGGACAATAACTTGTGTGTAAGTGTATGGATCTTTCTGAAATTGTACTACAAGGTTCCATATCACAAAGGGAAAGCTGGGTTTGAGTTTTGGGGTAATTGCAATTAACGTTTAGGAATTTGGGGCCAAAAAGGGGCCAAAAATAAGCATTTTTCTAGTTTCCAGACAATAACTTGTGTTCAAGTGTATGGATCTCTCTGAAATTGTACTGCAAGGTACCATACCACAAAGGGAAGGCTGGGATTGAGTTTGGGGGTGATGAATCATAAGGGGGTTCAAAAAATTTGGGGGGGGGGATTTTTTTTTTTTTTCTTTTTTTTCTTTTTTTAAAATTTTCCATTTTAAGTTGGTTATTTCTGATTTATATTTAAAAGCAAATAATAATGATATGGTAGGAGATACACACCAAACAGGATGTGTAAATTATTATATAATAAGTATTGTGCAATAGCAAGAAATTTTCAATTGCACAGTATTGCACAATAGCAAGAAATCTTCAAATTGCACAGTATTGCGCAATAGCAAGAAATCTTCAATTGCACAGTATTGCGCAATAGCAAGAAATATCCAATAGCACAATATTGCGCAATAGCAAGAAATTGTCAATTGTACAGTATTGCGCAATAGCAAGAAATATTTAATTGCGCAGTATTGTGCAAAAGAAGATACTTCATATAAATTGCTTATTTCTTGACCAATTTCAATGGGGTTTTGTTCTTGAATTCTTGGGGTTCTTTAATATGCTGAATCTAATCGTGTATTTAGTTTTTGGATTCTGGGCCCCGTTTTTAAATTGGTCCACCTTGAGGTCCAAAGGGTCCAAAATTAAACTTTGTTTGATTTCATCAAAAATTGAATTATTGGGGTTCTTTGATATGCTGAATCTAACCGTGTATTTAGATTCTTAATTTTTGGTTCCGTTTTCAAATTGGTCTACATTAAGGTCCAAAGGGTCCAAAATTAAACTTAGTTTGATTTTAACAAAAATTGAATTCTTAGGGTTCTTTGATATGCTGAATCTAAACATGTATTTAGATTTTTGATTATGGGCCCAGTTTTCAAGTTGGTCAAAATCGGGGTCCAAAATTAAACTTTGTTTGATTTCAACAAAAATTGAATATATGGGGTTCTTTGATATGCTGAATCTAACCATGTATTTAGATTTTTGATTTTTGGGCCCCGTTATCAACTTTGTCCACATTGAGGTCAAAAGGGTCCAAAACTAAACTTTGTTTGATTTCATCAAAAATTGAATTCTTGGGGTTCTTTGATATGCTGAATCTAACCATGTATTTAGATTTTGGATATTGGACCATAATAGGTGAATGTCCAATTTAAGAAAAAAATTGAAGTTCTTAGACCACATTCATTCTTTGTCAGAAACCTATGCTGTGTCAAATATTTAATCACAATCCAAATGCAAAGCTGTATCAAGCTTGAATGTTGTGTCCATACTTGCCCCAACTGTTCAGGGTTCGACCTCTGCGGTCGTATCAAGCTGCGCCCTGCGGAGCATTTTATTGAAAACTTGTAAACGGTCAAGATCCCCACCCCAAAACCATATATATTCTTGTATGGGACAATAAAACAAATCAGATGAAATATAAGGCAAGTCCCCTGGGATCACCCCCACCCACTCCTGTTTAATAACTTGTAGACAGTCGAGATCCCCACCCCTTAACCATATATATTCTTGTATGGGACAATAACACAAATCAAATGAAATATAGGGGAAGTCAATGGGGGTCACCCCCACCCCCTTCTTTTTGAAAACTTGTAAAAGGTCTAGATCCCCCACCCCGAAACCATATATATTCTTGTATGGGACTATGAAACAAATCAAATGAAATATAAGGTGAGTCCCCTGGGGTCACCACACCCCCCTGCTGTTTAAGAACCTGTAAACACTTTCGAGATCCCCACTCCTAAACCATATATATATTCTTGTACGGGACAAAAAAACAAATCATATGAAACAAAGGGAGAGTCCCCTGGGGATCACACACACACCCCCCCCTTTTGAGAACTTGTAAACGGTCGAGATCTCCACCCCTTAACCATATAAATTTCTGTTCGTAATTTCAAGAAGATTTGAATGACATACAGGGTTTATCCATAGGCGTCACTAATGCTTATCATAAACCAATTTGTACTGGACATTGCCCAATGTCAAGCAACAATGGGAATGACGAATTATTGGAGCTTTGTTTGGGAGACTTCGTAACAGCATTCTGTTACAATTATTTCTTGTTACTGATAAGTTTTATAGATTTTGAAATGACATTGTATTAATGATAAATAAAATTTTGGATTTTTTTCTTCTTTTCTTTGGTAAATTGTTTGTAGAATTTTGTGGCAAGTTTGTTTGTTATTCTGTAAAAACTAATTTTCTGAATGCTATATTTTTTTTTTTTTCATGAAGTAACCTCCTTTAAAAACTAAGCTTATATTGTCTATTAATAAACATATATTTAGATTTTTGATTTTGGGCCCACTTTTCAAGTTGGTCCAAATTGGGGTCCAGAATTAAACTGTGTTTGATTTCAACATAAATTGAATATATATAGGGTTCTTTGAAATGCTTAATCTAAACCTGTATTTCTTTTCATTATTAATAAGATAATACCACATTGAGGTCCAAAGGGTCCTAAATTACACTTTTGATTAATTCCATCAAAAATTGAATTCTTTGGTTCTTTGATATGCTGATTCTAACAATGTTTGAGTGTTAAATCATATCTAATTTTAGAGAACTTAGTCATCACTAGTTGTTGTTATTATATTATTGATTATAATTTGAAAAATTGCATCATATCCAGTTTGAGTTATTTCCCTTTGCACAGAAAATATTATGGATAAAATTAACCTGTGTTTCATTTCAACATAAATTAGATATATATAGGGTTCTTTCAAATGCTGAATCTAAACCTGTATTTAAATATTAGATTTTTAGGCCCAGTTTTCAAGTTGACCCAAATCAGGGTCCAAAATTAAACTTTGTTTGAAACAACAAAAAAATAATTGATGGGGTTCTTTGAAATGCTGAATCTAACCATGTATTGAGAGATTTTGGATTGTGGGCTCCTTTATCAAATTGGTCCACATTGAGGTCCAAAGGGTCTTAAATTAAACTTTTGTCTGATTTCATCAATAATTGAATTCTTGGGGTTCTTTGATATGCTATTCTAATATGTAATTAGATTTTTGATATTGGACCATAATAGGTATTTAAATGTCCAATTTCAAGTATTTCAGTTCTTAAACCACATTCATTTTGTGTCACAAACCTATGCTGTGTCAAATATTCAATCACAATCCAAATTCAGAGCTGTTTTAAGCTTAAATGTAGTGTCCATACTTGCTCAACTGTTCAGGGTTCGACCTCTGCAGGAAAATCTGGTTTGCTGTCACTCTGACAGCCTCTTGTTAATTATTATATTAATGACCTCACTAATGCTTTAATCAATTGTAATTCTGATCCAGTTGTAATTGGGGACTTTTCTTTAAATATTCTTCTTTATGCAGATGATATTGTTTTATTGTCTCAAAGTAAAAAAGGACTACAAAACAGTCTTCATGCTTTATATGATTATTGTGACTGTTGGAAACTACAAGTTAACACAGATAAGTCCAAAGTTATTGTATTTAATTCAAATGGTAAAACTTTTTTGGACGAATTTACTTACAATGATTCTTGTATTGAAACTGTTAGTCATTATTCTTATTTAGGTATTGTAATAAAATGTAATGGTAATATCAATTTAGCCATTAATACTCTTATGGAAAAGGCAAGAAAATAATTATAGGAAGATGTGGTATGAGTGCCAATGAGACAACTCTCCATCCAAGTTACAATTTATAAAAGTAAACCATTATAGGTCAAGGTACGGCCTTCAACACGGAGCATTGGCTCACACCGAACAGCAAGCTATAAAGGGCCCCAAAAAATTACTAGTATAAAACCATTCAAACGGAAAAACCAATGGTCTAATCTATATACCGGTAAAAACGAGAAACGAGAAACATGTGTGAACTACATATACAGACGACAACTACTGTAATCAGATTCCTGACTTAGGACAGGTGCAAACATTTGCAGCGGGATTAAACGTTTTAATGGTACCAAACCTTCTCCCTTTTCTGAAACAATAGTATAACATCACAACATAGAAAAACACACTATAAAATATCAATTGGAAGGCTTAACTCAATAAAAAAACGTAAATTAACACACAATGAACGAATAAATTTGACCTGTGACACCTGAATGCAAATACACAGTTAATAAAAAATTACAAGGGATAAAGTTAAAAGTAAATAAACAGGTTTAAACAAAGTTAAAGTATGATATCACTGTGAAATGTCAAAATTTTTTTAGAAAATCATCGATCACTTTTGAAGAAACCTGCGTCATATTATACACAGGTAAATGAAAATAATTTTGTTGTTAAGTATACTTCTTCTTCTGTGTGTATAAAATCTTCCGTTTAGGAAAACCAAGAAATTTCTTTCATATTAATAAAACTAATCTAACACTTGGTACATATGGGGTGAATATCAACAATAAAACTATACAATTAGTGCTAGATAAAACTTCCTGTACAGGTCCAAGAACAGCATCTAAGGAAAAATAAAATAATTTTGATGTTCATAGTACGAAGAAGTGAAAATTTGTAGTAATACCAAATAATCAAAGCTGGTATATAGACAAGATCCATGTTAATATTAAATAACAAAAAAGCATTACAAATAGTATCAACAGGTCAAATTAAAAAGAAAGTATGATTTGAGAGTACTCACAGTTACTGACAGCTAGTTAAAAGCCAAAACAATTAATAATAAAAAAATTTGTAAGGGTTCCGTGGAACCCAGTGTCTCGCCTACTTTTGGTGTTAATCGCAGGCTCAACAAAAATGAGGAAAAAAGTTAATAAAAATATTCCCCTCTATACTATGTTTTGATTGTAAGTAGCTTCTGTCCAAGTTTGGTAAAAATCCAGGATAATTTATGAATCTAATAAATGTTTTAAAACTTAAACTGCAGAATGTATGTAA